TATCGCTATCGTGCTTCGTTTCTTATGTATTGTAAAAGTGTGACTAGAATTAATTGGTTTTTATACAGTTTTTGTTTAAATTTTTGCATTAAAATTATAAAACAAGTAATAGACATAGTATATATATATATATATATATAAATGTGTGTGTGTTTGTGCGTGTTATAATGTAATTCGATCTATGCGCATGCATATTACATACATACAGGTAGTTGTTAACTTAATAAACCTAATATTTATAAAATATTTGGGAAATTTCTTCATGATTTTTCATTATAATCAATCCGTAATCATTTTAATTCAATTAACTTTAATTTTCTTATAAAAAAATACACTTAATATAAAATTATTATATTAAAATTATTTTAAAATTAGATTAAACGTAAAAAAAGGCAGTCAAAAATATCATTGGAATCGCTGTTTTTCTTTCTTTCTTTGTTTTCTTTATTCTCGTTGTTACTCCACTTTGTTTAGCAGTAAATAATAAGTTGAGCAATAAGAAGACATTCATATTGATTTTCGGCTTGAGCCGAACTCTTCGATACCCACCAATTATTACATATTAGCTTGAGAAGATCTTTTATGCTGGCATCAGCTAATACATGGATTTGCAGAGAACTAAAAGTTTGTTGGAAAAATTCTATTATGTTATATGACAGACGTACTTAATTATTAAGAGCATACATTCATTTTCTATAGGAAGCTACCTTACAACAGATGCCAACGGTGCGTTTGCAGTGTTGCTCGGCATTATAGGGAATGCATATGTGTAGACATTCTCTTTAATGCTTTCAAGTTCTGTTTCAATTTTCGTTTATTTTGTCACTACATAGCTACATATGAAAGCCAAATCCGTCTATACTTTCCAAGCTGATGTGTGTTTTCAACGTCCAATCTATGGTATGAATAAAAGACAATCATTGGCAATATGTACTCAAAAATTAGTCAAGATAGCTAATTTTTGCTTAAAGTGATATCAAGATCAGTTGGGCTGAAAAATTGACCCGAAATTCAGTCTGAAAAGTTGAGCCCATTTATACAACTTGCTTTCAAAAGTCAACAATTCCGTTGAATGAATTTAGCATATAAAGTGTGATCTCCTGACCTCCTACTATTATCTATAGTACTTGAAAAGTATCGTCATTGTTGTCATAAATCTCATCCTGCGGTACAAAGCATATCATGTTAGTCTGCTGGCTCTCTGATGCAGACTTGTGTTGAACCTACAGTTCGATGTTTTAGAGATATTTTCATAAAATGTGTGTATGACGAACATATGCGTCATCATCCCTCTATACATCGTTGCCGAATTCCCTTATCAAATTTTATCACCATGAATGCGTATTTGCCATAATAATGTACTTTAGAAAATGTGTTTGTCAGTTAGTCAAGTCGCTTCGCTGCAGCCCAAGTTCATATTACACATACTCTACTTTTCGCGTCTATACGACTATATCGCTAAAGACGTCGATATGGCTCGCCGACGTAGCCTTGTGTTGAACCTATATATAGTTCGAGTTTTTCGAGTTCGAATTTGCATAAAATCTCGTACAGGGATATGGTTTGGTCCAGTAACGAACCCTTTCGATGCTTGCATTGGATTATTTTGACAATTTCCCGCAGAACCTTGTATTTTGAAAATCTTGTTATATGAAAAAATGTAAACCATTACGCAAGTATATCTATCGATAAAAATCGGTGAAATGGTTTTATTTGACTAAACGAGAAAAAATCGGAAAATTTGAATGGGGAAAAAAAATCATTCTTTGTCTTATGTATGGCTTATTATGATGGTAAGAAAGTTGTGTAAGAAATAGAGAGAGAGAGAGAGAGAGAGTTGCCGAAGTAGTATAGAGTATTTAAAGTAAACAGTTACTAATTGCCGACCTTGTCCAACTACAAAATTTTTAATCCACAAGTAGCCGCAATTGTGACACATACGCAGCTAGCGAAAGCATCCTACGTATAAAAATCTACGCTTTTTACTGATTTATTTTCTTTCTTCTTTTACTTTCCTCTTGGAAACGTCCTACTTTGTGTCGTGTGTTCTTTATTTTCCTATCATAAGTGCCAAAATTCTCCTCTTCTTACGTTCCATATTTCAGTCATTCTATTTCACGAATGCCTACGTGTCGGTGCTTTTACCTCGAGGGATAAAGCATAATACAAAAGAACTAAAACTATGCGTACGAAAGGCATTACATTACATTCTAAACGCCTACGTTTGCTTACTTTAACATAATGCCAATGGAGTTTCGTGAATATAGTCAGTCTCGGATTAATCAATTTGTAATGCATCCACGCAATGTCTCCCTTAGTGGAATGGTGAAGTGCATAAGTTTGTGAATTTTGTGCGTATTAAAAATCCCGAACAATAACACACACAGCAGTCTTTACAAAGTAAAAACACTCGGTAGCTAAATATAAGGGAAGATTATGAAAGTAACCTGTAAAGTGCTCATCGAAAACTCGAATTTTGTCCGCACGTTATGTTTCAGCAAAATGCCTCGGCTTACAGATTATGTAAATCGAAGACACCAAATAAATCAATGCGTTTGCGTGGACTTCTATCCCGCACGCAGTGAAGAGTTTTATTTTTCTTTTAGCAGCCAGAGAAACACATCATCGATGTATGTAAATCCGTTTGCTGCCATCTTCCGTTTCTGTCAAAGAAAACCTGCCTACATCCTTTGCCTACGAAAAAAAAAAAGATGGGAAGAGCTGATCAATTTTTTGGATCTTTAAGCAATCGTTTGATGATTACAATGATGATGATTACAATCTTTCCTATAAAGTATAAGCAAACTTGTAACAAAGCATCGTAAGACTATAAAAAATTTAGAAGTCCTTTTTTAAAGAGGTTTTATTCAGTTTCGATATCATTGCTTTGCTGCATTCTCCTCCACATCCCCTGCTCTATTATGTTAGAGTTTTCAAAACAGTCAAACAGCCAGGTCATGGCGCACCATTAAATGCCCCACTCCATCCTGCAATTATTCATGAAACGATTTTTCAAAATAATGTTCTATATAGGGAGCGGTCGAAAAAGCGATCCTGCTCGAACGATTCTCAATGGCGTTCGTCTTTGGGTCAAAACATGCCGGCAGACCAAATTTTCACCAAAACATCTCAAATCTTGTGGCCTGTATAGTAAAAGATAAAGCTATCTCAAGTTCTTCTGAGTATTGCGTACATCCGCGCGAACTTAACATATATCTGTAACTCAAGTGATGTAGGGTCTAAAAGCCACCTTCACAGAAGCTTAAAAAAGACAGAGATGGAAGATGGCAACAACTTGGAAGAAATCAATATATTCACATCCAGAAACTGTTTTAAAGCTTAGCAAAGATGTTTCCAAAAGATGATCTGCCCCATTGACAGAACAATTAGCAGAAAAGTTTTGTCGTCCTTTTTAAATGGTGGGTATCCGAGGTCTACTCAAAGGCGAAGACTAAATGTCGTACACGTTCTTTACGAAAACATTATTGGATTAATGAGAGCATCATATTGGATGCCTGTTAATTAAACCGTTATTATTGCTATCGCTTTTCTAAAATTAATTTATCTAAAATAAGGCCAACGTATATGACGACATACTTGAAATCTAGTTATGAGTATTTATTAAGTAAAAGTAAATTAAATTTAAAAAGCACCATATGTGCGCTCCGGCTCAGGGCATAACGAGCAACACACCGTGAGTTAACAGACGTATCCAAGAAGCTGAAGTTGCACTAAAATCCCGACAGCCATCAAAATAGTTATACGATAACATGATATGATCGTTTTTAAATTAAATAATGAAAAAGAGCAGTTGGTTGAAGTAAGTAAATAAACATAAGAATAATGATAACCGAAAGAACGTTAGTTCAAATTAATTACCGACAAAAAAATGTTTGATTAATTTAATCGACTTTTTGCTTTAATTAACGCTTATGTCATAAGTATTTCTTTACTTTAAAAATCTTCCTACTTTTATTACTTATTTAATTTGTTTACTTATTTTTCTTTTTTCTTTTAGTTTATAGTCAAAAGTTAAACAATTAGTCAAAATTGAACTGACGATGAGGACTGCGACTGAAAGTACATTTATGAGATATATTGAATAACTGTTATCAATATTTAAAAAAAAACATTTTTCAACCTTCGGGTTTACTTTGTTCGTTTCAAGATTTTTTGACATTTTCACACCCATCACCCATAGATGGTCACATATATGATGGCAATTGTATCGTTCAAAGAGCCTTTAACTAGAAGGAGAGAAGTTTATCATAGCGTTCGACTACTCCTTCGAAACTCGTTCAGAAAATCTTTACTAAAAAGATGGAAATTTATCGAAACGTTCGACTATGTACCTCTGTCTATTCGGCGCTTTGGTGCTAACATTTGTTCAGACAGCCTTTAAACAGGGGAATAAAAGTTAATCACGATTACTGCTTCGGAATTCGTTCAGAAAGCCCTCAGCTAATAAGATTGAAGTTTGTCGTACCGTCTCACTACGTACGTCTGTCTATTCGACTGTTTGTTCAGACAGCCTTTAAACAGAGGGATACAAATTAACCGTAGCGTTCGACTACTCGCTCGAAACTTGTTCAGAAAGCCTTTACCAAAAAGATGGTAGAAGTTTATCATAATGTTCGACTATGTACGTCTGTCTATTCGTCCGTTTGTTGCTGAAACATTTGTGATAATTGAAATAGAAAACTAAGACTCGATACATATGCTTTTTGCTACAGGCTACAAATAATCAACGTTAATGAGCATCAACAAAATACAGTTACCTTTAAAAAATAGAAAAAAGTATAGAAACAACAAAATTCGTAATTATTTAGAAGCCCTGCAAGTTTTGTATTTGAAAGTTAGGGTTAAAAAGATCTACGCGCCCACATTTAACGAAGAATACTCTATGATCATTAGGGTGGTGGGTGTCAAAAATTCGTCTTAAGACCAACATATGTTTACGATTTGCTTAAGTGTAAATTAATATTTTTCGATTTTTCTTATTTTTTTTTTTTTGCTTTTTTTACTGGTTTTTCTACTTTGTCTGCAAATCTCATCTTCGTTTTGCCCAAATTTCTCTTTAATTAAAATTCTAATAATAAATTACTTTTAATACTTGATTTATGTGTTGTTCGATTTGCTGTTTGATATTAAATTACATTGTTATTTGTAGATGTATATATGTAATTGCGATAAAATGTTTTAATTTTCATTATTCATTAGAATTAATGGTCTTTGCGCTACCACTTGATTAGAGCTAACTGCTTAACATAAACATTCAGTCACAGGCCATATGGCAACAATATTAAAGTCAGTTTCGACGCCTGCTCACCAATCTACATCTGCCGATAGTTGCCGCTCCTCACGACGAGGGCAACGTCCATGTCTTTTAATGTACGCCCCATACTCACAGGTCGGTAATTTGCAACGTCCCTCAAGAATGCATCTGAAACATGAATGAAAACAAAAATTATTTAAAGTTGCCTTCACCACATTTTAAAGAAATTTTTTGATATGATTTACTTTATTACATATAGTAATATCGGTTACTTCTTTTATTCGTATACTTACTTCCGATCATTCATCGAAAAATGTTCCATTCCCCGTTTTAGCCAGTCACAGCCCGTGTTACCCGAAGAACAATCGCAACGGCAATAACCGTCTTCTTGCAATATCTTCTCGAATAAGTTGGGACAATTGCAATTTAGGACAGTGGCGCGACGCAAATAAGGAAATTGATTATTGGTTATACCTTCTAAACCGCCGCCATATAACTGATGATAGTCTATAGCATATTCGGGTGCACGTTGCTTTGACTTTTCCACGCAATGACATTCGGTATGATTGATAAAAGTTAAACGTTCAATACTGCCCTGCGTTTCATTCAGGCTTATGACCTAAAAAAAAAAAAAAAAAACATAAGATGTTTTTATTAAAATTGTAATTTTTTGATTACACAAAATTATGAAGATAAATAAGTAAAACAAGTGAGAAAATTACATTCAGCCGCAATCGAATCTTTTATACCCATCAT